CCCAAGATCCCATTGGCCTTCTTGGCCACGAGGGCACACTGCTGCCTCATGGTCAACTTATCATCCACCATGATATCCAGGTCTTTCTCTGCAGAGCTGCTCTCCAGAAGGTCAGTCCCCAGCCTGTACTGGTGTCTGGGGTTATTCCTCCCCAGATGCAGAACCTTGCACTTGGCCTTGTTGAATTGCATGAGGTTTTTCACCGCCCAGTTGTCCAGTCTGTCCAGGTCCCTCTGGATGGCAGCGCAGCCCTCTGGGGTATCAGCTACTCCTCCCAGTTTGGTATCATCAGCAAACTTGCTGAGGGAGCACTCTGTGCCTTCATCCAGGTCATTGATGAATAAATTGAACAGGACTGGACCAATTTTGCTCTTTCTCCTTCTTCTAAGGTCACTTTATGGGGTTTAAAGGAGCAGTTTTTACTGCATCCAGCTAGAAGATGCCGCAATGGCATAATTGCAGAGGAGATGGAAGAAGGGGAGAGCTGGGTGTCTTAGGCCAATAGCAGGATAAAAAAAAAAATGGCTGAATTTTGATTACAGGGGAAGAAGGGGAGACTGTAGTCTTCCTTGTCACACATTTCAGTTGTAGCTCCATAGCTTTTTTCATTCAATTTATGCCTTTTTCTACCTTGGTTCCGCTTCTGAATTTCTTTCAAAAGAGGCAAAACCTTTCCAAAACACAGTTTTTGCTCTTAGCCTAGGACTACCATGTCCTTTTATTTATAGCTTTAATCAAAAAAGAGTTTTCATACCAACGTTAAAACTAAATGAGATTTTGGTTATAACCTATAGCACCAGAAGAGTTGAACTGGGTTGGTCCCAGCTGTACCTATGTTTTCTTTCCTGGAGTGAGAGTATCTTTCCAAAGAAATATTCTCTGCTCCATGTTCTTATGAGTTTTGGAGATGGCAAAGACAATCACCATCTAGTGTGACTTTTTTCATAATAGAAGCAATTACATTTCATAGAGTTATTTTTTCTTATCATGAAAAGGATTCTTCTCCCAAGGAAACTGCACATGTGCAAGTACTGAAAATCCTAAATCAACAGCAGACATTGCGTCCTTAATGACAGCAACCAGAATGAGGGAGCTTCCCTA